GTGAAATTAATCAATATAACAGCGTTGGCGAATATGTTTGATCATTTCGTTCTTTTTTTCTTTCTCTAATATCATCACACTCATATCATCAATTTCTCTTGATGCATTCGTTAAATTTCAGTTTTCTAAAATTCAGGTTTTAGGATGTTCCTATCAAAGATACCGCTTATGAGATATCCGAAATTGTTACAATATGCCAAAAATAATTTATTCAGTCATCCTTTACGTACACAAAAACAACCATCACAATTTAAAGTATATTGTTTTTTTTTTTTTTGTTGTTTTAGTTTTTGAAGATATTCTATTCTCCTTTTTTATATGTTTGATTTTCCCTCTTCTTGATTTTCGAATTTCCTATTGTTCTTTGTTTTTTTTAATTGAGGTTTTAACTATTTCATCCTAAAATTATTTACAATTTTATGGGTTTATATTTTCAGATTGAAAATCAAAATAACTTGAAAAAATTTGTTTATTGAACACGACCGAATTTGGAATTTGATCCAAGCTTAAAATCAGGAATTTTCTACCAGATATTTTGCGATCACTTTAATCCCTCATTGTGGTCTCATAAATTTCAGGTACTTTTCTTTTTGATGTTCTTATTGTTTTGCTTAATCCTTATTCCAACGAAATTATTTTCAGATTTGATCTTTCAGGAAAACTGAAAAATTTGAGAAATTTTTAATATAAATATTCATTGTTATTATTATTACTATGACAATTGTTATAATAATAGTAATAATTATTATTTATTATCATTATTATTGCTCATTATTACCTTCATCTTTGGCAATACCGTAATTTCTTGCTCTGTTTCGGATTAAAATATGCATAACTTTAGTTCTTACTTGAAATTTTAGTTAATTACTCATTTTGAAACTGCATTGAACTCCAGCGTTTGCAAAATTTTTATTTGCCTTTTTTGAATCAAACTAATTTTTAAGTTTTGTTTAATCGGAACCATATCGGTCAATTTAAACTTTGCATATTTTCATTTAAAATTATTCTTTAGACGCGCTAAACTTGATACGGGATGCGATGAAGCATTTGGATGCTCAAATAAAAGGTGATGGTGCTAATCTCATGGATATTCAAATATGAGAAGCTACGAAACTGGATAGGAAAAATTGAAGCATTCATTTCTTTTCTTTTGCTTCTTTTCCAAGTATCAATCGATTTTATATATAATTAAGTGTATAGGGTAACATTAATGATAATATTATTAATGTTAATATTAGTTAAGGAGAAACAACAAATACATTCATATATTTCCAGTAACGACCAGCACACCACTTTTAATAATCACTTTCAATTTTTGGCCAATAAAAAGATCAAACTAATTTTTAAGGCATTTCCAATAATTTCCAAACTAATGGAGGTATAGTTTTATTAAATTGTAGCAGACAAAAAATAATTTGCATAATTTCAATGTGAATGAAATTTCAGTGATTTGCTTGAATTTCTTGGTCTTGTAGAAGCGGTAATTTGTGAAGCTTCAGATGCCACTGCTTGCAATGGTCTACTGTTCATATATATTTCATTGCTATAACTTCTGGTGAAATTATTGCTAAAATGGAAATTAAAAAATAAATCCAGAAAATGTTTCTATTTTTTTAAATGAAAATTATGAACGTAAATGAAGTTGGATGACCTCAGGGAGTTGAGTTGTAACATCTATCTATCTTTATCAATTTTACTTTTCAAAATTTGAAATATTTGAATTGTTGGGAATATTCCAACATTACTATCCACTGCTGCAATGTCCTTGGATATTTTTGAAAATACCGAAAAGAAAGGATACTTTGGGTTTTACCTAAGGAAGGAATGATATGATCATATTTTAATTATTAGTGGTAATTCTATAAATATATCTTTTTCACCTATTCGTACAGCATTGATGTTTTCTTTTTGTCCTTTTTTACAATCGACTTATTGAAATGTTTTGTAAATACTAAA